CTCCCCAAAACCCCAAAACCCCAAAACCCCTCTGATTTTAAAATACACTGAAATTATTTTATTTTTGAAAGATGGAATCTGATGTAAAGTTGTCTAAAATTACTAGATTTATCCTATTTATAGGCAATTAGCTCCCTTAAGGCACTTTGTTGGCGATTTTCCTGACTATATGTACTATAGAGGGTAGGATACCTTTCGGAAAGTATTGAGAAGGAAATGATTGAGGAGGTAATCGCATTTCAACGGTACTTGTTTTTTTGTGATTCGTTTAGAAACCGTAAAAACCACAGACTTTCTAAGAAAATGCTCAACCCAGGTATTCTGGTCAACCCAAGAAGGAAATAAGGATAAGATCATTAAGAGGAATGGTCAGACTCGCCTTGCCAATGATTTTTATAAATAAGCTTAATAAGAAAAAGAAGGAAGAGCCTATAGCTCGTAATAAACTTCTGAGTAAGGTACATTACGTGAAGCAGCAAAGAGCAAGATCTCAGCCTCTAATTGGTTCTCATGAAAGTAAGTTTTTCCTAACTCTTTTTGATAAAACTCGAGTAAATATTCATATCGTTCTGTTCCTGTTGGGTTTGAAAGATGATTACTAAATCAACTCATTGCAAGAGAGGAACTCTAATACATGGTTTATCGTCTACATCAGATTCGAGTTTGAACTCTCAATTCGCCTTCAAAATTATCAGTATGATTTTTGTGTCCTGAACAAAGATTTGCACAAGTTATGCAATTTTAATTAAAACTGTATGATTAACCAAAAATTCTCTTTTCATTAAAACTTTATATAAGCAGAGATGGAATCTTTTAACTACAAGTAAGACTGATATATTATATTTCCAGCTCGCATACAGTTTAATACAGCTAAATTATATCTAATCCTCCTTTTTTAGGTACTAAAGTTTCTTCCTCAAAATAAGCAGCTGACCGATCTTCAGAAATCCTCTGTTGCTTATAAAAATCAGCTTGCTAAGAAGAACCAACAGACCCAAAATTTGATCAGAAATATGAGTAATATAAGGAAAGAAAGAATCATTCGAGCTAATAAAGTGAGTCTCGAGTATAAACATCATAGGCATTTGATGCAATCACATGTTTTTCGAAAGGCAATTTACGAAAATGTAATATACCAATATATCTGCTAGCATCATTCTCTAGTCTCTAAACCCCTCTGTTCCTTTAATATTCTATGCTCCACCCTAAGCCTCTTTCTTCGATTGGCCCGCCCTCATCTAACCTTCTCTAAACCCGGTTGGGCACTGTAGCTCTCTGCTAACCTTCATCTTTAGCTCAAATATCCAAAAATCTGCATAAAACTCTCAATACCAAATCTGGCCCAGAGGTCTTAATTTCTGAAGGGAGGGAACTTTCTGAAGATAGCCAAGGAATTGTAGATATTCTAGAAGGAGACTTGGATAAGCTGAAAGTGCTTTCATACCTCCAGAACTGGCTGAGTAAGATACTGTGGTGGTTATGTGTAGAGAGAGGGAACACAGGGAAGAAGAGGGGTCCTGGTCGGGATTTTGGGGATATTTTTGGAGGGGATAAGGACCTATGGGCCCTTTTTAGGAGTGCTTATGGCCAAAATAGCTTGCCTAAGCATGGGGCAGGAGGTAGTCAGGGCAGTATGTTTGGGGAGATTAAAGGGATTAACTTTGGCAGCCAATTCCAGTTTCTTGATACTTATAAGAAGAATGAAGGGGTTAAGTCGAAAGTAACAAATGGGTTGCAAGATGAGTGTGATAGTTCGAAGATGAACTCTCACAAGGAGATCCCACTTTCTTTTATCTTAAAAGATTTGATTCAGAAATAAAGATGAGTATGATAAGGAGAAGCTGCCAGGGAGGAACAATATGAATGAAAATTTCCCAAAAATTCCTAAAATTCAGAAAAAAAGAAAAGCTAATTTGTCCTTACCTAAGCAGATTGAGTTAGATCCAAGTTTGGATAAAGATATCAGAGTTTTACAACTAAAGCAGAAGAGGGAATTTTCTAAGACTATTAAATAACCTTGACCTTTCCAGGAAGATTGCCCATACTTACAAATAATATCCCGGAATTAGCATCAGAAGACCCTATTGTAGCGTCTGTAAAGCATCAATTGGAGGAGGAAAAGACGTCTTATTTTGATCCAGAAGATCCTTCTGTCTATATCAACTTCATCAATGGGAAAGTTAGTCGAGATCTTACTCATAATAACCGAAGTACTCAGAAGAAAGACCGTAAGAAAAACATGAAAGAATACCTAGATTTCTTGCATAATCAATTTTATATGTGAGATCAATATGAGGCTCTAAAACCCCCACGATCTGATTTAGGAAGCCATTCTGGGACCAGCTCTTTACAAAAGTTTAGGCCATTATCTAATGTATCAAGCACCAAGGCTTCAACAAGTCAGAACTTTAGGAAGCGAATGGTTAGTGGCTTCGCCACTAACCATAGCCAGAGAGTTCTGAATCGAAATGGTGCTTCAGGCTACTTGATAAAGCGAAATTTCTTGAAGCCACAGAATTTGAGAGAATTTGACAGACTTTAACAGATAATTTTTCAATATTTGAAGAATTTCTAGGGGTTTTGGGGTTTTGGGGTTTTGGGGTTTTGGGGTTTTGGGG